TAATTCAATCAACTTAATCTTTCTAGAAACTAACAAATTCTGTGATCATTTATTTTAAGATATGTACCCAAAAATGAAATGTATGATTTGTTTCTTCAGTCTTACAAATTTAATGGTGATGTAACCAAGGAATTGTATAGTGAGACTATACAAATCCTTGATGTTACACAACTGTTTTTTGAACTTGTAGTATATGATGCATTTTTCCTGTTCTTGGACAAATTATCAATGTTGTAATACATGATTGCACCAATTGAAAAATTGAAAAGGTAAAAATCGTTAATGCACATGTATTGTTCTGTTATTAAATCAAACAAAGTAATTTATTTGAAACATTACATAAAAGCCCACAGTTGTAGAAGAAGGTCACATTAATTCTTCTAGTTATGTAACATTTATTAATTCAGTAAAAACACTCTCTGATTAAGGAAAGACATCGTCATTTTGTTCTCTTATATGCAAACACTTTGCATTGATAACTGATGTTCCGCTCCTTATTTTTATATTTAATTAAATTTAATGCTAAAGGATCTCTATACAAGAATGTGCAACTCGAATGTTATGCTTGATTTAAAGATTTTACTTGTATATCATTTCTTGGCCTTTTTCACTTAACAAATGTTCCCACGCAAAACCTTTTCTACATAATTTCGAGCTCAATTAAATACACCATATGCACATTTCGAAAGATTATTTCTCATCAGTATTGTTCGACGCCAATTATTGGAAATATGAAAATATCAAAAGTTAAAAAGGAATTACCCAAGTATTTGAAAACAACGTCAAAAAGGACTATAAAACCAACTAATTAATCAAATACTTACAATATACATTTTTTAGAGTACTCAACTTTCCTCTCTTCATCTCGATCAGTTCAAATATAATTCAACCAAGATAGAGTACATTATGTATTTTAGTTGCGCCATGCAAGACGTTGAAGAGCTATTGATTTACTATCAACACGACTGGTACCTATATATACACTGTAAAATATAGGTACTGGTCATGATGATAATAGATGCTATTGCTAAGAGTGTCTACATAAGAATCTATGGCAATAAGGCTTGCGTTTGTCATCGGACCATAATAGGATCGTGCTAATACAGCTTAAATTGTTTTGGTACTTACGTTTCAGAAGAATGAAGCTTTATATATTTTTGGAGCTACATGTGTGTGTTTTTTTTTTATTATTATTGAAAAAAGGTGTAATAGTTATCAGTTTAGGAAAACATTTAGATTACATTTTACGATTACTTTGAATGCATTTTGCAGAAGAATGAAAAGTCAAGTAAGCCAAAAAAAATGATTGCGATTTGGTCTTTATAATACTAAAATCCAGATTCTGTCAACATCACATGGAATGGAAAAAAAGGAAATAATCAAATTCAAATTAAGTACCAACAATGTTTTCAAAACGCTAGACAAAAAGGGAAATATATTGAATTATATTTTATAACAAATAAATTCGGATATCACGAAAACTTGCGAAGATATGATCATGAAAAATCATTTGAATTCGCAGTCAAAATGCAACTTTGTTTAATAGTATATAGAACACAAGTAAGTTGAGTTCCTTATAAATGTTAGACTTTACAAATTCGACTATAAAAATAAATATTTCCTCAGATGTGTAAAAGATGAGAGTATTGAAACATTTGATAATATGGGCGAATTCTGTATTCAAGCCAAACTGCCACTATATTTGTCTTTATTTTCAAGATAATCTTCTTTAACACAGTAATACTATCTACAAACATATAACATTGTGTTGGTTTACCGATTGCATGACAACGTTTAAATATTTTTAAAACATCAATGAATGAGGAAATTTAATACCATTGACAATAGCATGAAATAGTTGCTACTGGACAAAGCAAATAACAATCAATCATTCTATTGCCAATCACAAATTACAGAAAAGGCAAGGGAGTAAATTATATTAATAGATTCGAGAGTATTTGACGTTAAAACTTTCTTTTTTCTCTAGACATTTGTTAACGTAAATAGCCTACATATTCTACTACTACATTGTACTATACGTTTGTATACTGGTACAGTTTTAAAATATCTATATCATGTGTTAAATGTATCTTGTTTTATATGTCAGGTCATCTATTGATTTTGTACCCACATGCCTGGTACCCTTATAGTCGAGACATCTCAAATGTACAGGTTTGGTTATAAACAAAGTCGAGTAAATTACTTTTTTCATTTAAATGAAATAATATCAGATAAATTTTATAAATTGAAGTACCTTTATGGTGTTTTTTTTATCTCACAATTTATCAATATTTTAGTATTACTGTGATCTTATATATAATACAAGAAACGTGCCTAACCAGTTTAATAATACTTGTTTTCATATAACCTGAAAAATTGACTAACTATGGATATAATACTTGTAAATTACGTGTACTTGTAAGCGGATTAAGATACAATTTGTTTTACAAAACCATGTAGTAATTATAAGAAGAGCGATGAACCGAGAAAAGATGTCATATAGAAAACTTATCAGTGGCTTTATTTCTAAAAATGCATACTCTTTTATTCATAAGGCTTATTCACTGTCACCGGTGTTTTAGAAACCAATTAATATTTTCTTTGTGTCAATTTTCAAGTATATCAATGAATATTGATGTCAGTTAATGCTAAAAATTTCATTAAGTATTGTTTAATATTCATGGGACGGCATGCTATCCATGCCATTATGAAGGATGTTTCTAATAAAGGAATTAGAAAAAAATGAATCTAAAAAATTTAACGCTGCGCTTCATGCATCATTAGAAAGAATGTTCATAGCAAGCAAAACAATTTTTGATGAAATCTATGTTCATTAAAAAATAATTATTTTAAATTCTCATAGCAATTATACACCATGGAAAATATTGCATTATTATCGTAAGTGATTAAAATAAAGTTTACGATTTTACAGTTATTAATACAAAAATCAAGTTATTACTCGTGTGGATTACTTTCTCTAATTGAATTGGTTAGTACAGTATTTACTCATAACCCCATAACGACGCCTTCTAAAACATAGAGAAACGTTTCATTATCAGGACTTTGGAATAGGTTAATTTTTAAATACTAGAAAATATATTGACTGAAAATTGCGTTGTTAAAACTAGTCACGTGTATCAAGAGAAATGTCTCCAGAAATAATAATTCATATGAATATTCTTAATGCTTTGATTGCTGAATACAACATTTGGTGTTAATAACAAAAGTCTGACACCAAAATATTCCATTATATCAGCTATTAAAACTAAAGCAAAACAAGCATGTCTTATATATCACCCTGCTTTCTTACAAGCGAAAGCGAGTCAACTAATGACCATCATACAACAATGTATTTTATTGTAAGCAATAATTATAGGAATAGGTATAGACCTACCACTATGAAGTGTCATGATTTAATGAATTCCAAAACATGTTTAGAACTAAATGTTCTGCTTAAACTTATTAAGTAGATCAACAACAAACTTTTCTGGGCGAATAACTGTAAAATGTCTCTATCTACTTCCGTACGTTATCTATGTAATTGTATTAAAATATGTATAATTATCTCTATATCTTGGTATTTGGTTTGGGAGAATAAAGATGTATATGCAGAGAATATATCGTTTTGGGGAATATTTTTATTTTTGGAATATTCTCTTGAAGTAAGTTTTTATCGCTTGGTCCTCTAAGTACAAGGAAATGCTACATCCTTACTTAGCTTATTATCTATAGATCTTTGTCCCTTTTCGTTTACATTCTCTTGTACTTCAATTGATATTCAGATGGTTAACTTTATTGTGTCAACGTACATTCGTTCCGCCTAAGAGAAGTTCCCCTGGAAACTTTGTTAAAACAATATCAATATATCCTGTTTATGTTGGAACAAATATTCTATATCCTTTATTCCGTAAGGAACAAATACTGTAATATTTGTTCCAGTAGAAATAATTTTACAGAATATTTTTCTTCCACTTGGAACTTATGTAATTAAGGAACTTCTATTTCATGACAACTGTACACTACTGCATGCTCATCCTTATAGTGTATTGTTATTTTCATTGTACTGTGGAAAAGCTTACATAATTATGTTTTACTTAATCTTAGCCATTTTGCTTTTAGCGAAATACTGTTTAAATCAAAATCTTATAGATGCACTTGTTAGGTGTTAATAACAACTGGCTGAAACTAAAACAAATGTGTGTACATATTTTTGAGACGTACATCAGTTTCCATTATTTTATTATATTACCAATATTTAGGTCGATATGGAAGAAAAATAAAGTCAATCGCAATTCCTCTGGGCATTGAGACACTCTAAAATAATGTTTTATAAGATCTATGCATTTTTCGAATCTGAATATTGACACAAGATACAAGAAAAGCTAATAGACGCTGAATGTTTGGCGAAAGGGTTACGTTATGAGATCTACCTTACTTAGATGTCTACGAGACTTACTAGATAGAAAATAAAACGTTGAACCCTTTGCGTATTATAAGCCCGTTCATAGTTCCAAACATCTCGTTTTTTAAAAGGAAACTTTAGTATTTCGCCAATTTTTTTACGCAATCATGCAAATGTGTCATATGAATGAGAGAAATCAAACATGAATATGCAAGTGAACAAAGTCCCATAACTCTGTAAAGGAAAAAGTTATATATGTGGAAATATGATGAGAGCGTATTAAATTGGAACTAATCATAATGTAAAACTAAAGATATCGTCAGACGAACACAAAATGTCGATTCTACTATTGACACAGTTTCGTAAATCTGCAACTACTGATGTCAAAATAGTACCAAGCACTTGGGAGGTTGTCTTGGTAAAACCGACGGAATCTTAAGATAATGTTAAACTTTTGAAAGGCTTAACATGGCAATAGCAAAACTGAGTAGTTGCGATATGTGCTCTGTCGAACATACGGACAGACATACAAATGGGAATTTGGACAACGATTTACCGTATTATGTTCTAAATTTTGAAGACTTATAAACATGCTTACCTTGGAAGTCTTTTCTAGCAGCACTTATGTTGGCCACAATATTTGAAATGTGTCCTAAAACAGTCGCAAACAGTAGTAGTCCAAAAATCATCTCAAAAATTATGAATGAATAATCCGATACGGTTAATGGTCTTGGTAGGTTTCCAAATGTAGTAAGTGTAAGTGTACTCCAGTATAATGCATGTAAGTATTTCTTAACAGTTGATCCATCATCTTTTGGCATTGTCCATGTACTGGATGCGTTTTCGTGTGTTGCAACGATATTGTACAGACAAGCATTCCAATGGAACAGGGCAAGCAGATAATGCATTAAAGTGAGTGTTCTCATAGCGTTTGGGTAATTAGTATGCCTTTCCGTTCTGTCTAAAAATGCCCAATATCTATATACTTTTACTAATCTAAAACAACGCAAAATTGAGCAGAATCCAATTGAAAGATAAAGAAAATCTAACGGTAACAAACATAAACAATCTATATAAAACATAGTTGTATTCATATAATGTATCCTTAACTTAATAGCATCTGTCTGTAGAACCCCATCGTCTAAATATCCTGTCCGGAAGTGAAATACTATGTCCAAAATATAAAGAAGGTCTGCCGTATAATCTAAAGCGAACCAAACACCGTAATTTTCTGTATCAATCTCATGAAATGCATATCTGTATATAATAACCCAAAAATTATAGAGAAATGCTAAACTGACCACAGATGACCACCAATAGGCTAGCCGCCCTGAGGGATCAAAAACAAAGGTCCAGTTACACCCTTCGTGATCAGAAAGGGTTGTGGTAGTTTCCAACCTCTCCGTTTTCACTATTTTGCTTTTCTTTCCAAATTTACTCTCTATATCTTTCTTGCGCAGTTTTCGTATTTCTCTTGGTGTCATAACTTCAGAAGATCTTACCTTTTTCATCAAAGACAGGTCTCCTCGAGCTGAAAAACTTTTTGCTCGTGACTTACTCCTGTCAATTCTACTGCCAAATAAATCCATTAAACTTTGTTTTGACGTTGATCTTGATTTTTGCTCGACAACTTTATTCGAGTAAACAGGTGACGATAGACTGATTCGCCCCCCTTTACTGAGGCGTTCCCCTATTGACATAGTTCTGTCGCGTGTATTTATCACCTGAAATATTCCTACTCCACCCGAAAGTATATGAGGTCCATTTGCAGTTGGTTTTCCGAATTCCTTGGTTTCTGACTTCTTGTTATCGTGTTTATCGTTCCCCATTATTGCGATTTCTTCCAATTCATCATCAGTGTGTTCTGTGTCACCTTTTGAGCAAGGTATGTATTTAACTGCCACACTGGGTTCGTTGCCTTTTCCTTTGGCAGCTGAACTAGACATTTTTCCTTCAACCAGTTAAAACACTACTTTTAATTAATTTTCAACTAACCTTCACAAATATCAACTTCCATCAAATTTTTTTTATAGTATTTCACATCATATAACACATTGGTTTATTTCTTTCATTCTCATGTATTTTGTAGAAAAAAATATCCTGCTTTAAGTTAAGTAAGTTTGCCATTTCGTACCAAAGAAAGAGTCAGTCTAAAGACGGGTATATACCTTTAGTGTCTAAGACCTTTTAATTAAACTTTATTTATTCCTTCAAAATAAATCCATGCCACGAGAAAAAGGAGAGTATAATCTGAATATTTCTTTTTGTTTTCCATTCCACTACATAATTCCGCATCGTTCGTACAAGTCAATGGTCTTATATTCATACACTTCTCAATCTGTACATTGACGTTAATCCGATGCTAGGAAATTGTTATTTGTTGTCTGTGATTCCTATTATCTTCTTTCTGTAACATATGGACATGTAAAGAGGTTCATTTCCATATATAGAAGTTATATGAAGATGAAGGCATGTCTCTCCTGTATATGTACATATCATAAAAATAACTTCAATCATTGAATAAATTCAACAGCTGTGAATAATGATTTTGTGGGAAATTGAACATAGGAAATCGACAGTATTCATTATGGTAATGTTACACTGTGTTTAGTCTGAATTATCTTATTTATAAGCTAATCAAATAGCTTGGTCATTTGAGTGCACATTAAGACCAGCTACTTGAATATGTTTATTGTATTGTATCTTGTACTATATAGTATTCTAATTCTTTGTCGTTAGTTATTGAAAATTGCTTAATGTATGTATGTACTTAATTTATTATAAATATGAATTCAACATTACATTTTGTGTTTTATTGTTTCTTTTACTAACTTAGTAGACTAATGCAAAAAGGAATGCCTTCCATTCAACTTAAAATGTGTAATTCTTTAAGGTCCAGGCTCATCTGTAAAAGATGATTCGACAGCTGTCGTGTAAGCAATTAAGGTTTAATGTAGAAGTTTGCACTGAATCATGAATTAATAAAATAAACCGCTAGCAAAATTATTCACGTGTCTACAATTTGATGTCTTTCGGAATGACACTTACCTTATAAAATATTTAAAAACAACAAGAGCAATTAACACAATAGTCGGCATATCAAACACATTTGTTGATAAATCGGTCGCCTTCATCTTTTACGGAATGTCAATTACCATGATCATGAAGAAAAAATACATAAAACTGTTCCGTTACAAATACTATGAAATTAACAGTCGTAGGTTTTATTTTGTCCCTAATCAATTTCACACATGAAGCTGAGATAATTAAATTCATACTTGCTTGAAAATAGATAAATTAATAGTATTGGAATAATTTTTAAAAGACATACTCACATATAAGGATAAAGTTTTCCGTGTCGGATCCAATACGAAGAAAATAGTAATGAGCCATGCGCTCAGTCAAAATCGCCTTCATCTTCACATATTGATTTTCGGAGAATGTGTCTCGGATCAGCATAGAATTCAGTTCCTTTCCTCTCGAAGATCAGCAAATACAAACAGTTGGAAAATGCTACGGAAATAACGGTGATTTTTGTAACCCAATCTTCTATCGATTTAATACAACTATTATTGAGTAAAATTGTCATTGTTTAACATAAATCTGTGTATATTTTGATTAGCATGAATGTATTCATTATTGACAATTTTTCCAAAGGAATCTTCTCAATTTGAAAGTAAATAGGTTAATCCATAGAATAATTACCCCATTAAAGACAACATTCTTATTAATATTACAATAAATGCTTTGACGATAGGATTGTGTAGAGGTACATTTCTACCATTTGTGTTTTTCTTAGACCTTATACTTTGCCAGTTAAAAGACGTATGACGTATTTACTACACGGAAGTTATAAAGAATGAAATTCTGAATTCTTTTATATTCAAGGCCGTGCGCTTCACATAATTAAATAGTAGACAATCTTAGCATTACCACATCTCAGCTTAGGTCTCTTCTGAACATTTGAATAACCCTGCTATCTAACCACATATCTTTTCATCTTGGCTTCTAGTTACTGTGTTACAACTAATATTTCTGTAATTTTAACTAGTTCGCTGACTTCAGTTAAAGATTCTATTAATCAAATCCGTAATAAAGCATAGGAAAATAATGAAATTAATTATTTTTGGAGTGTAAAAAACTTTTTGAATGATAAAATACTTGCTTTTCATTTTTCATTTAATTTGGTTGACTGTATAACCCGTAAATTTAGATACGACCATGAAAACTTATTGCTCATCGGAATAAACTTATTCTGATAGGTTACCAATCTAAGACTGCAGTAAGATCTTTGAATATTGCTTTCCTCTGTACTGTTTTTAATGAATTAAAACATAACTTAAATATGTATCGCTATACAGTTATAAGAACAAACGCTCTTACGTATGTTCATTGTTTTTTTTCTCTCAGGCTGTTTATGATGTCTGTACACTAAATCCATTGGATTTGAACTGATTGATATGTTATTCTTGGAAAACATGGTTTATTTTTTAGTTGAAATTTACCTTAAACCAGCTTTCAGAAACTTGGAGTACTCTAAGATGGTACTTGTGTTTTTTGTCTTTTTATTTGATTTTGTGTGTGCTTTCGTTGTTATGTTGTGCTGTTACACCAATGTCTCGGGTTAGGAGGTTGAGCGCCCACACACATGTGTAAACCCGCCACATTCTTAATGTATATAGTTCCGGACTATATGAATATTTAGACCGTACGCGTATGGTCATGACCATATGGGTATATACTCATATGGTCCTACCATACGCGTATGGCTCGTCCTGAATATGCATGAAATATTTGCCACTGGACGTTCAGCAACCAACAATCAATCAATCATACGCGTATGGTCCGGGTAATTAACATGATGGACATTGAAAAGGTGTTTTAATAAAAGTGTTTCTAAAAATGAATTTGAAAGTGAATATATTATAGTATACTCTTTTTTGCGTGGTCATTATCAATTTGTTCTTAAAAAACAGAAATGTCGACTTTGGAAAATAACTTCTAGAAATATCTAAATGAAGTGTTGAACAAGAAGTCAATTGTTTTACTCGCAAGCACTTAGTTCATTGAAGCCTCTTTTTTTAAATTCATTTATTTTGGTATTTAAATTGTTTTTTTAGTAAATTAAAATTTCTTAAATATTTCAAATTGATATAAGTTATTTCATGATTTCTTATTCCTATTCATACGATCTAAGTTAACAATAACAGTAAAATCGTATGAATCGGAGCGAAAACACATCATTTAAATGGAAAATAAGAAGAAATTAAAAGAATTTTGTTAAAAAAAATAACATGAAAATTTCAGTTTGAACGATAAAGTCTTTTTAATATAAAAATAAGGAGATGTGGTATGATTGCCAATGAGACAACTAACTACCCAAGTTCAAATGAAGTGGATGAAAACAATTATAGGCAACCGTACGGCCTTCAAACAATGAGAAAAACCCATACCATATAGTCAGCTATAAAAGGCCCAGACATGAAAAATATGAAACAATTCAATTGAGAAAACTAACGTCCTAATTTATAACAAAACAACCTACGAAAAGCAAATATGACAGACACGAAACAACGACAACTACTGAACTACAGGCTCCTGACTTGGGACAGACACATAACGAGTGTGGTGGGATGCCTGTCCAAAGTTAGGGGCCCGTAATCCATTGGTTGCGGTTGGTTGCTGTCTGTCATTTGTTTTTTCGATTTTTTAGTATTAATCGGAACCTTGTTGTTTTTTTCCTTTTAAATTGTTTCATATTTTGTAATACCGGGCATTTTTTTTAGCTTACTATACTATATGGGTTTTGCACATTGTTGAAGGCCGAACGGTGACCTATAGTTGTTTATATCATGGTTCTTTGGTCTCTGGTGGATAGTTGTCTCATTGACAATCATACCAAATCTTCTAATTCCTTATTTTCGTAAGGTGGTAAATTATCAATATTGTTCCAGTTAGTGTACTTTTGACCTCATTGCGACCCTTTAAATTAAAAAAAAATCTTTTTCCTTTTTTTAGCTTTTGTTAAAAAACTGAGCTGATATTTATTTTATAATTGTATAATAATGAGTAATATTATTCAAATTAGTGTAATATTTATTGACCTACGTTTGGCATAATTATGACCATTGGGCATAGAACATTTCTCTAAAATAACGAGTCCGAGATTCATGCCCCAACATCTGCACATGTCTGGCGTCAGAGAATCGATGGGACTATAGAATAACATAATGAAAAATAAAGAATATGGCTTATTATATTGCATGATAAAAATCACTACACATTTAAAAAGCATAGGAACGGTGTTTTGTTCTTGTTCATCTCAAAGTCACAGTGTGCAACATTGAGGAAAACCCAACTTAAAGGTTTAAGAGTATAACAACAAAAGAGCATATAGAAGGAACAGTCAAAACTGTATTAGATCATCTTTGAGATAGTAAGTTACACTCGTAGTTATATTAAAATTCCATAATTTTATGAACTGCAAATTTACAGTCATTTTTATTATTCAAATTTTACCAAATCTTGTAACTACGCAGATGATACCCTCTGGGACTGATAGTCCAACAGTTACGCCACTAACTAAATGGTACGTGTTATTATCCAAGACCTAGCGCATTCTAAATACACAACAGAAGTGTTTGAAATTCATACTTTTTAGATAATGCAATGTTATTATAAGCAAACGATCATCTGTTTAACGAATAGGTTATATTTTTACCTTTCTGTTCATCCCTTTTTTTCCAAATTATTGTTCAAAAGATGCTTCCTGAAAAGAAACTTGTCTTGCGTTTTCCTTAGAAATAACTGTAACATAAGAACTAGGCCCTTTCTTTAATAATCAACGTCGCGTGCATCCGTTTGCAAGCAGAAATGCTACAATTAAGTCATAGATTTAGCGTTTTACAGTAAAATCCCAGAACCAACCTGATAATTGGTACTCCTCGAATTATGGTTAAATAAACTATATGGTAATTGACTTTCTTGCATGACACCCACTTGCACACTAGTGATTAACTCGAAGATTTTACACTTGCTAATTTCTTTCACCAGACAAACAGAACAGGATGCCTTAAACTAGCTATTTGTATTCGGTGGCACGCCATTCTATTAGCTGATTGTATGCTGCCTAATACATTGTAGGGATAGTTTCAAAAGTAAATATTGTTTTATCTCTCCACAGAACGTTATCCAATAAAACAAACTATCAAATTGAAATTATTTTCTTTGGTTCTTTATAGTGTTGTAATCTGTATAGAGGAGAAAAGAAAATAAGGATACCATAAAGGACAAGATTTTCAATGCGAATCCAAGCAATAAAGGCTTTTATTTTGTGACTACGTTTTAAAATCTACTTTTGAATACTGATACATGTGTGCATAACCTTTCTGCTGCATTTGCAGTAACCAAACCGAGGCCGAGAACCTCATTATGGTTTAGGAAGCAACGTTTCGTCACCACGAGATTTAACATGAC